GCTGTATGGAAAGTGAATTTGCTCTGTAAATCTTCACCCAAATCACAAATAAATAAATAAATAAATAAATAAATAAATAACATTGAGGAAAATCATGAATTGATGGACAATAACTCCCTGAGTTGTGCAAATGGTTTGCACACTCAGCTGTTAACCAAACAACTGGTGGTTAGAAAGGTGTGGTGACCTAATTCCAAAATATCAACCATTGGAAACATGTGCTATGGACTACAGTTCTATTCTGACACACATGGGATTGTCTTAAGTCATAACTGACTCATGTGCAACAGGTTGTATGCTTTTATAATAATAATCCAAAATCAGTAGTCAAGCAAAAACTAGTCCTAATAAAAAGATTCACTTTTAGTCCCACAGTTGCCCTTGAATATATTCAACCATGAGGCAGATCTCACTGGCAGGAGCTCTATTCCATGATGACAAAGGAAATCTCATACACCGAAGCTGTCACTATCTGGCACTAGTCAGAGTACCAGCCCAGTGGATGAGTGGGATTTCCCTAGTGTGTTATGAATAATAAAGGGGTGCTTCTTCTGGTGTTTACTGGCTGATCAGGCCTCAGTTTGTATTACTGGCACAATTTGATGCGAGTCTTTCTGGTCCTCCTAGGCTTTGGCATTACATTACTGGAGTTTGGAGGTGCTAGCAATTTCAAGGGGAGCTCTGGTAGCATAGTGCCTAAGGCACTTGACTGCTAACCAGAAGGCTAGCAGTTCAAACCCACCAGCCACTTCTCGAAAGGAAAGTTGGGCAATCTACTTCCATAGTGATATCACCTCGGAAACCTGAGGAGTGGTCGCTATGAGTCAAGTCCAACTCGACGGCACATAACAACAACAACAGCAGCAGCAACTTGAGGAGGAGTCCCTGGGTGGTGCAAATAGCTAATGCACTCAGCTACTAACCAAAAGGTTGGAGGTTTGAGTCCACCCAGAGGCACCTTGGAAAAAAAAGACAGCAATCTACTTCCCAAAAATCAGCCATTAAATATTCTAAGTACAGTTCTATTCTGATGCCCATAGGTTACCATGAGTTGAAGTCGACTCAACAGCAACTGCTTTTAGTAACCTCAGGGGCACATATGTCAGAACACATATTCCTCCTTTAGCTCCCAAAAAGTTGGTCTTTTTTCTGGCACCTAAGCTGAGATTGATATTAAGAAGTGCAATTTTTTAACTAAAGAAACACTATTTTTCAGGAGCTAACTGTCCATCCTTCCCAAGCACCTTGCTGCACTGGGGATGAAACTTACTTGCCAATTTTATTAAATGGCACAACCTTCTCCTCCAAGCAACCAGTGAAAGGCCACTTATGATCACATTAAAGTCACCAACTGCAGCTTCCAATTCATACCAACGTATCCCCCAGAAAGTCACATCATCCTCTTACAGTTTCAAAAATCAGAATACCAACCTTTAAGAACAAAGGAAGAAGACTCAGCAGGTTCTTCTGACATTCATCCGGGGTCCTGAAAGCCACCTGCTTGTGTTTCAGAAACTTCCTTTCTAGCACCTCCCAGAGAGCATCGGGGCCAAGGGATTGCCCTTCACTTGGGAAATCAGGCTGCAGGGTATCAGGCCGGTCATCACTGTGAGAACCTGGATCCTGTTCTCTGTCTCCAGCCTTCGCTATGTCTTCTGCCTCCATGCCTTAGCAAGGCAGATCTGAATTCAGAGTAATACACAACAGTGAAAAGTCTTGTCACAGCACTTCCTGATGAAACTGGTTGTGGGACAGGGTACGGTATTCATTCAGTCCAGTTCCTATTGAAGATGGTTCCTCTGAGAATCTGAAACCAATTAAAATAAGGAAGATTTTTTTCAAAAAGATTTAGATTTCAATGTGACTAACATATTAGCAATCTAATATGTCAGAGACTGTTCCTGGCTCCTTAGAAAAACTCTCTTATAATCTCATAGAGATGAGTTTTCTTTTTTAAAAAAATCTTTATTGTGATCTGGATGCAAATTTACAAAGCAGATTCGTTTTAGTCTCAACAATTCATGCACATTTGATTTCACAGCCCCAGTAACAATCCCCAACCATGAAAACTCTCCTCCTTGTGACTACCCCTTCTCTGTTGTGCCCTTCTTATCTGTGCATTCCTGTCTTTCCAGCTGTCCCTCTGTGTGAATGCTGACCCTCTGAGTGATGAGTTTTCCTATTCTCTTCATGTAAATGAGGACACTGACAAGGCCAAAACATTGAGGCAGCTAGAAATTGAGGAGAAATGAAAACTTTAGCCTCAGACGCCATTTCTTGGTTTTAATTGCCTGATGGTATTCCTCTTTTAAAAGACTGAATCAATAGAAATGTGTAAATATTTCTGCAGTATTTATAGAGGCATGGGCTTCTGCATCTTAAATCATGATTTCCTTCTACCACATGGGTTTGAAAGGATATAGGCTCTTCATTCTCAGCATTATTTGGTTCACACTCAATATCTTTAAAAGACTTTATCCACAAAATAACTTTAAATCCTCAAGCTAACTTAAAGGAGCTCTTCTATAATTGTTGTTGTTGTTGTTATGTGCCATCGAGTTGGCCCTGACTCATAGTGACCCCTCCTTGGGTTGCCGAGGCAGTATCACTATGGAAGTAGATTGCCCAACCTTCCTTCCTTCTGAGAAGTGGCTGGTAGGTTTGAACCGCCAGCCTTCTGGTTAGCAGTCAAGTGCTTTAGGAACTATGCTACCAGAGCTCCCTTCTATAAGTGTACACAGACAAAATTTGTGTAAGCCTGGAAACTTGGCTCAGTAGGCATAGAGAACAAGAGCTCATGAAAATACTCAAAGACCTACTAGCTCAATAACCATGAGAATGTGCCTTTATTTATGTCCTTGACTTTTCAATAGTTAAACTCTTTAGGTGAGTCATAATTGATTCACAGCTTAATGATGGTTTGTTTTTTGTTTATTTGTCAAGAGTGAAGGAAATTACAAGGAGAAAGTAAAAGGCCCTTCAAGAAGACATCCTTAACCACAAGGTCCCCATGTGATATGAGAATCCAGCCCTGGAGTCTGGGCAATGCATGACAATCACAAGGTAGCTATGAGTTGGACAAACACACAGAGACAGGTCAGAGTTTTGCTCTTGGCTACAGTGTTGAGAAGATACATCATGCTTTATTTTTAGCCTGGTACACACATTACTTGCAGGCTTTGAATGGGACTTACCTCAATGTCATGTGTTCAGGCTAACCACCCCCTCCTTCAAATTTTTCACCCTTTATGTCTATAACTCTGTGCACTCCTGACTATTCTCCTATCACACATACTTCCATTATCATAACTCATGTTAAGAAATCATTTTCTTATTACAAAAACCATGTACAGTCATGATCAAAAATTGAGAAGGAACAAAATGTCAGGAAGAATATAAAATTGTCCATAAGAATACAAAATAGCCTTAGAAAGTGACTGCTGATATTTCAGTGTATATCTGTCCAGTCCAGATATCATCTATGAATATATAGCATAACAAGAATATACCCATATTATTATTTAAGTAAACTTTCTGTTTATACTTTTACTTTTGTTGGTTGGTTGACTGACTGGCTGGTTGATTGTCTGGGGCTTGTGGTTTTGTTGTTGTTGTTGTTTCTTCTTTTGGGGGTTGAACCTCACGGGCAGGTAGTGTAGTTCCTCACACCCACTCACCTGTGTGAGCAGTCTCCTCACTGATTTGACCAGGGACTTCCCTGACTCTGGTCATTTATTCATTTATCCCCTTGAGCCACCATTCCCCATTCCTATTCCCTTCTTCTCCACCCACCCTATCAAAGGCTACCATTCCCACCTGGTTGATACTTTTGATAGGTATCATTTCATTAGCATGAGTCCTTCTCAAACATGAGACTTGATGCATGATTTCTGTTTGCAGGCATTTCTTAATTACCTTAGTGTTATGCTACAGATCCTTTTATGTAGGTTACTTTTTCTCCCTCTCCTTTATGTCTTCAGACCTAATCACCTGGGTCTGTATTTATCAAATTTGCTTCTTCTAACTGCTGCCCAATATTCCAAGTGGGCGTTCACTTTCCTGTTTTACCAGTGACTTCCAGTTACTAAACACAGTCCTGCTATGGATGTCCATGAATGTGAGCCCCTATAAGGCTGCATGCTGCTGACTCTGGGTATGTATACAGGAGCAGGAATACTGAGCATGCCCTCCAGAAGACTAGCTCCAGGCCATACTACTCTTGCACAGCAAGTGAGGACTCTGCACTCCATCTCCACCACACATGGCATCACTCACTGTGATAGTTAGAGTTGTGTGTCAACTTGACTGGACCACAATTCTGTGTGGTTTAAACAATCATCAGGAGGGTTGTTCCAATGATGGGATCAGATGTATATGTTCTGAGCAGCCAATCCATTGAAAGGGAGTTTCCCTAGGGGTATGGCCTGCTTCCAGTATATTTATGGACATCCTGGGAAAAGAGACATTCTTCTGTGGATCGGGATTCTGTTGTGCTGCCTACAACTGTCCAGGAGTAAACAATCCACCATTCAGCCTGGAGACCTTCGTTTCATCATTCATTGGAGTCAATAGCCAGTATACTTCCTGACAACCTTGAGCTTCTCAGCCCCTGCAGCTGTGTGAGTCGGGAAAAGCCTACAGCTTGGCGTTTGATCCAAGAACTTTGGACTTGCCAGCTTCTATAAGTGTGTGAGCCATTTTCCTAAGATAAATTTCTCTTTCTCTATATATAAGTTTTACTGGTTTTGTTTCTCTAGAGAACCCAGTCTAACACACCCACCTATCTAAGTTTTGCTAACTGAGTTGAAGTAATATGATACCTCACTATCATTTCTATAAATTACTAATAAGCATGAGCATCTCTTTATATGCCTCAACCTGTTGGCTTTCTTCTTCTGTGAATTGACCATTCATAAACCAAGATTAAAACCCACTGACATCAAGTCGATTTTGACACATAGCAATTCTATAGGACATAGTAGAACTGCCCCCATAGGGTTTCCAAGGCTGTGAATCTTTAAGGAAACAGACTGCCTCATCTTTCTCCCCCAGAGCAGCTGGTGAGTTCTAACCACTGACCTATGGTTAGTGGCCCAATGCTTTAACCACAGCACCATTAGAGCTCCTTGACTACTCATAGCCGTTGTTTATTTTTCATTTTTTGCCTTGTCTATTTGCTTTGTAAGGGTCCCTGGTATATTCTACAAATTGGTCCCCTGTTGGTTTTAAAAATTGTAAATATCTTTCCTCAATCCATTTTCTTATAAATTAGCTCATGACTTTCCTCTTCATCACAACAATGTATTATGGATATTTTTCATGTCATTAAAGATATTTTACATCTTCATTTTTAATAGCTGTATAGTGACCCATAAAATAACATTGATCACTTACTTAACAAATCCCACATACTTACTCATTTAAGTGGTTTCTAAGTATATATTACTATAAACAATAATACTGCAATGACAGTCCTCACATTTGTCTTTCCATGTATCCTTGATTGTAATACATTCCTAAAAGGAAATAGCTGGGTGTAAAGGTAGGTAAGTTTTTTGGCTCTTAACACATATTTCCAAATAATTTCTCCTGGAATACCTTATCAGTGTACAATCCTCCTACCATTAATGTAGGACAGCTTCACTACCTTAGTGATTATCACTTTAAAAAAAAAAAAAACCTGCTGATTTGATAGATTAAAGGGAAAAAAAATGGCATCTTTGTTATTTCTCATTGTGCATCTTTGTTGTAACATGAGGAGTAGGATGCACTTCTGTCTGTGTGATTCTCAGTCTCTTCCGGGCTCCCTGTTGCTGGTTTCTGAAGTCAGATTACAGAGTATTCTTGTTTCTTTAGCAGACCTTAGCTACTCCTTTTGGCTTTATTAATAAGCCCTGAGAGCCATTTATCCACTAAATATTAACTACAGGGAGGCAAGGACATTGTGCCTATAACAGGGGTTGGCACTGAGTAGATGTTCAATAAGATAAGTAGATGTTAAATAAATAAATAGCTGTAATAATGAATAAAAAAATAGATTAACCTATTTGTTGATGACACTCAAATCCCTCTCTCTAGCCCAGACTCTGTTCCTAAAGAAGTTGTTTTTTGTTTGTTTGTTTCTTATGACAATATTTCTACTTGGATTACCCCAAACTCTGAAAGTCATTATGTCCCAAAAAAGCTGCTCTGTCACTTACCAATAAAGCCAGTCCAAAGTCCACCTGTAACCACCAAACCCACAGGATGGTTGTTTCAACCAAGCTATGCATTGTCTCTGTCATGTAAAATTCATTTTGTGACTACACCAATTCATCCAGTAACCGACTTCTGAGCACCTGCTACATGCCATGTCTCCAGGATAAGCAAGTATAAGTCCAAGTCAGTGTCAGGGCAGAACGTGAAAAAGTAACCCTCAGGTACTTGATGAATGTTGTTGTTGTTGTTATGTGCCATCGAGTCAAACCCGACTCATAGCGACCCCTCCTTGGGTTTCCGAGGCAGTATCACTACAGAAGTAGGATTGCCC